AACCCCCCCCCCGACTCGTCACACATCGTCACAAATGTCTGACCCCCCCCCAGGTGCGTGACGTCATTTATGGACGGCCCCTATGATACGATATAATATTTTCGCGACCCGACAAGTATTGCAATATCGATTTCTCATCGCCTTGCCAATGTATTGATTTGTGCCGTTGTGTACTTCTAGTACACAGAAAGATGACTTCGATTGCAGATTTTTGTCATTGTGACGTTTCATACTGATAACGCAAAATATATAGTGCACGTGCAGTTAATTACTCGAGAAAAAATTGTTGCGCAACATTAATTCAAAGGGAAATTACTACTTAGGCAAATGAACGATTGTTATTTTATAAATATTTTTGACGGGGAAAAAAAAGTTTTTGTTTCATTGTCACAAGCAACGATAACCGTGGCGATAACGTTAATTTGCCAAACAGACGATGTGGTTTTCGTGGGCCTTATAATGCCATAATTTATTGTAGAATCGCGACACCATTGCGACACGAATCGTAAACCATGTTCTGCAGAGCTCACCCTGTAATTATCACAGACTTCTAGACCAATGGCCATTTCCCATCGTTGATTTTTACGCTCTGCGTGAATATATACACACACACACACAGTATGCACATCTGTTAAATATTATGTTTGCATTGCAACGATTGCACTCGCTCGAGAGTGCCTGTGATACTCTGCAACAGCCTCGTGCGTAAAAGTTGCAAAAATTTTTTTTCACCAAACAAAAATAAAAACACTCGGCAAACGTGGTCGCTCGTTGGGTCCCTCCGACCTGCTGGCACTTCAACGACTGCAAAGGGAAATTGGACTTTCGCCACCGATCACACAAAAAAAAAACATTCGCGAACGCACCCGTCATGAAAGTTACACAGCAGGCCGACATTACGGGCAGCAACGAACGGCTGTGTTTGTTATAAGGGGCCGTTCATAAATGACGTCACGCGATTTTGGACGATTTTTTACCCCCCCCCCCACCTTTCGTCACACGGCGTCACAAAAAGTCAGACCCCCCCCCACCTCAAATATGACGTCACAAAGCTCTGCCCCCCCCCCCCCACACCAAAAATAATATATGCTTAAAACCGCTTTTAAACTATTGTCATTGTAGCGTGTATTCAATGTGCCGCTGCACTCTGATGTTGTAGGAGAAAACATTTATTAAAAAGTCTATTTAATTAAGTAGAACGTATTCTTGGTTCTTTCGGTAAAGTCACGTGTTGTCTATATTTATTTAAAGTTGCGCATTTTGATGTGACGTCACATTTCTCAACCCCCCCCCCCCCTCGTCACACATCGTCACAAATGTCTGACCCCCCCCCCCCCCAGGTGCGTGACGTCATTTATGGACGGCCCCGAAGGGTCGTGTTCATTTTCATACAAATTATGTAATGTGTGATTCGTGCTTATGTATCACTACATTGCACTTTGTTACGTATCATATGATTGCTGAATTATGGGGTTCATAAAGGCGATAATTGTGATCTCGATCCCCACACCTCCGATTAGCGTGGTTCGCTATGTACGGTGTGAAAGAAGTTCAACATACATATGCATACATATTCATGTTGAATACGTGTTAATTTATCGGCCCATTTTCAACTATGTTTAAAATCAAACTCGGAAATGGTTTCATGTACGGTGCACATTCTGCATAATGAGGTTTTTTTGGGTTAGATCGCGTAAATATAAACGTGTGGTAAACCCACCTCCACCTGACACAGCCAATTAGTAAGGTTTGTCACGTGAACAAAACTTGCCAATTAGTGACTACTTCAGCACACCGCTTGTGTTGGACAGTAAACCCACAACATTTACAATTTGAGTACTGCGAAGTTTTCCCTGGCGATTACAAATAAGTAATATTTTTAAAAAAAACTTTTTTAAAAGCACGCTTTTATGAAATGTACTAGTAGTAATGGCAGAACTCCACGACTCCAGGAAGTGGCCCCGAAGCTTGCCACAACGTAAGGGCACCGTGGTGATTTACAGCCAACGTCAGTTGACCGTGGACAATTAGACTCAAGCCGAAACATATATATAAAAAAATAATGTTTACAAATATGTTTTTTTTTGTAATGATAGAATATAGTATTGTCATCAGTATGACATAAGTATACCAAGTTTGCAGTCGATACCACATTGGGAAGTGGGTTAAAATTGAGTTACAAGATTTGAGGATACAACAACAACAGACTGAGTTAATAAAAAGCGTGTAATTAAAAAAACAGCTTCCTCAGGCGATTTTCCGGTCTCAAACGGAGTAGAGTGATGGATAACACTCGTCCCCAAAGCCTACGTGTTCAATTGCACCATGCGGTCGGTGCGCGAATGGTTACACACGTAGGATTATTCATCGTTCACAGAAGAGGTGGCTGCCGAGTGCATTATAAGCAGACATATGAGCTGACTAACCGTGGGCATTTTGTCTCGGTTTGTTAATGAAACGCCACCGCAATGGCTGATCATTGTGTGCAATTGCGATTCGAGCCAGTTGCGGGCTTTTCGTGAGCCAGAAATTCACAAGTAACCAAACTTCTCATCTCCAGCTCTACAGATTCAACGGAGGAAATTTCCTGGCGAACTTACCCGGACACAGACTTGTATACGAGTTGCTATTCACCCAGCCGTGCACAAAGTTTAATCCTCTGTCCTTTGCCACAATGTTGCGAGCCTGTTTACTATTCAAACATGAGTCGTACATCATAAAATGTCTTAAAGATACCCCCTCTCTTTTACCACGTTCCCAGTCACATTCGGTAAACAGCGCCACGTCTGTTTAACGTGAGAGCCATGCAATGTGTCCTTATTGACACTTTTATTTGTTGGCCTTCATGCACCTGCCTCTACACGGGGTGACTAATTGATGTCCCAATTGTAAAATGTTTCCAAAATTTTGTCCGCGCCGTTGTTCAGCGTTCTTTCATGGGAGTGACGAAATGATAAAGAAAGCACATTTTACCGAGAGAAGATGCGGTACAATAGAGCATCATCTGCAGCAGCAGCAGCGGCCGCCATGATCGATACACTGCTGGATGAGGGCCTCCTCAAGCCGCTGCCATCTCACGATTTTGTATTATTCATACTCGACCGTTATACCTCCGAAAGTTGAAGTTAATGACAATGAATAGTAAGGTATTAATGTGCCCGTGGGATGACGCGTTGAATGTATGCATAATACGGTAATGGTGCGTCTGTTGGCATGGCACGCGGATCGCAAATATGGACGTGAGCGATGAACTAAAACGAGAGACACAACGCTTGAAATTGTGCTGAGGCACAGACGGAGAAACACATGTATTAAAGCGGCTCACACAGGTTAAAGGCATGTTTCTTGTTCACACTCGGCACTTTAACAATTTTACTGCTCACACAGTCATATGCACTATATATATTCTGTATATCAGGGGGTGAGGCACCTCCTGAGAGCAGTCATCATCGCTGAGAGCCTCATAGGACCACACACGAACACACCTCGGTATTTATCTAGTAATAACGCAAACAATAATTGCGTCTGATTTGTACCGTTAACCGAGTGCGCTAAAATTAGAGACGCGGTGTTTCCAGATCGACAATGTTTGCCTCGAGTACCTGACCAGTATGGAGGGCTAAGATGCTTGCAGTGAAGGGTTAAATATTATTTGCAGCCTATTTGGATGGGGGAGGCCTCATGTAGCCTTGGGCCGTGTGAAATTAAGTCATGGGCCACAGGTGCCTCCCCCTCGTGTATAAGGTGATCCGTGCACGGTGACGCACACGTTCTGCAATGAAAATTATGCGTTTGGCAGTTAGATGTGTCAATGGGTTGATATTGTGTTCTATAATTAGCAACACTACAGTCAGCTGTGTAAGAAAATCCCTTTGTGAGTGTTCTTAAAGGAAGAGGCAGCCAAAAAAATCCCAAACAGCACTTATCTTGTAGGCATACACCTTTGTTGTACTGTAGTTCTATGCTCCCATGTCTGTGCTCCCTAACTATGACGAAATTTTACAGAGCAGACGATATGATTATCGTGGACCTTGTAGCGTAAAACGTATCATAGGATACTCTTTGTTGTTTTTCGGTAAAGTCACGTCGATAGAAAATTAATAGATCACGACGTTTCGATCGAAACACAAGCAACCGTCATCAGGTGAGACAACCACAGCAGAATTGCTGACGCAGTGCTTTGAAGTGATTGGAGGAAAAATGTTTGAACGGGAATAGGCGGGAAACAGAGCGGAAAACCCAGAGGCGACGGTTGGGAACCGTTAGAGGAGAAGGACAGGGATTGGCTGGGTGGGAAATAAAAAAAAAACAGTGAGGGAAGATTCGAGAAAGGGGGGCTCGAGAGATACAAAAGGGGAGAGCGCAAGGGGAGGCGAGGGGACGTTCCAGGGAAGGGACGAGCTTCACGACCAAGCACCAAGCCCGGACCGTGTGCCATTTGGCGGTGGTGCTGGTGGCGTTGTGAACTGGTCCTGGGCCTCCCCCAGATCGCCTCGGCCTTACTGACTCTCGCTGAGCTGCATTGGCTTCCGGTTGCCGAACGAATGCATTATAAGGTCGCACACGTTAGACACAAAGCGCTTGCCACAAGTGAACCGCAATACCTCGCTGATCTCGTCAAGAAGCATAAACCATCACGCGAAATCCGGTCATCCTCGCAGTGGCTTTCGGCTGGCCATCGAAACAAAGACGGTCACCGCACTTTCAGATGCCCTTCTGCGGTCGTCTGGAACGCTCTTCCTTTCAACATTAGCAAGGCCGCTGGAGCTATGAACTTTAAAACCTATATTGAAAACGAATTTCTTTAGAACTGATTTTTTGTGTTTAGTTTGTTGTACTTCCCCTCGCACCTCTGATTAGTACGGTTGGCTACCTGCGGTGGGTGCGAAAGAAGTTCAACGTACACACGTACGTACGACCCAGTACCTGGTGCTGCACCCGCCCTCGCGCTCCTGTACAGTGTGTGCTGTGCGCTCAGGGGGCCGCACGAGAGCTGGTACCGTCTCGTTGTTCCGCGGCAGGAACATGGGCCGCTGCACAGACGGTGGCCTCTGGGGTGGCGGCGCCCGGTCGCTCGGGTTCGTCACCGCCTCCTCGCTTTTGGCTCCCGCCTCCTCCAACGTGGCGTACAGGACCTCGGCCTCCCTCGGCGCCGCCTGCGGGAGACACGCGTCAGCCCTCGCCGGCCGACGGAACGTCGCACCGTTCGTCTACCCCGCTCGCTCGCCCGCCCGCGGGTTGACACTGACACGTGCGGCGCTGGTGCCGGCACACCTGGAGGTCAATGAGCAGAAATGATGTTTGGGGCCCTCCCCACCCCTAACTCTGTGGATTCATGAACTCTTGAGTGAGGTTACAGGGAGAAATGTTCACAAGAGACAGAGATGGAAGTGAGATGAGAGATGCAGACAACGTTGAGATGAGAGATATTAATAAGCTTTTATATTTATTAGGGTTATAATTCTGATATGTGGTGCACTATTTTTTATTACTTAGGGGCAAGAAGGTTTGTTGACTTTGTTTGGGCCTAGAATCGTCACTTTTGAAAATTCGAAACTACAACTTTGGCCAGGGCTTAATTTCTCACTGAATGTTTGCCAGGTTGCCCATTGACTGGGAAGAGTCAAGTGAATAGTAGCCACCACAGCTGTTTTAAATATTTTTTCATACCGTTTTTTATGATTAGCCATGCTCTTTTTCAATAAAATTGCTCATGAAACATCTAGGCTTTTTATGTCTTGCTTAAAACCAGATAAAAAAAGGGCATGACCAAAGCTGTAGTGGAATGCGTTTGTTTGTCAGTGGAGCTAATTTCACTCAAGCCCTATTTCTAGCAACAGCCAGATGGATTGGTGACACACCAGCCATGGTGCCCAAAATGGGTGGAATGGGGCAGTCTTAAATTCAAGGCCAGGGACCTACAAGACCACGGTAGTGAGATGTTAACTACTTTGATTGATATACAGGAGTCTGTGGGTTCGATCCTGACCCTGAAGCCTGTATATTCGGAGTCTGCATGTTCTCCCTGTGGTTCGTGTGGATTTATCTCTGGGTCCTCCAGTTTTTCCCTCCACATTTAGAATTAACATCATGCGTTAATAGTATTTGGCTGCTGTACATTTCCACATGATAAGCCACTTCGTTACGCTATCATGTGTGGCCAGGCCGCTTCTGAAAAAAACCTACACAACTCAGTGGGCTTTACCTGGTAAAATAAAATATATAGTTTAGTTTCTAGTTTTGAATAGTTTAGACCATGGTCGAGGCTGAAATCCACAAGGCTGTTCTAAAAATGCTGTGTGAAGGAGGGGGGTAGTCCCAAAATGTAAAGCTGTCTTAAATATGACCATGAATCAATACTAATCACACGATCAATGTATTGTCACTGGTAAATATCAGTACAATAGCAATTATGTTGGGTCATCAGGGGTGGGGGGTGGGCACATCTCCACATGCCCCCCACCAACTCCTCGATCTGCCGCTGAGGCCTTCAGGCGAAGGCCATTGTCCAAGGCCAAACCCTCTTAGCTGGCTGATTAGGCGCAGTGGGCAAAACTCGTGTGGCAGTGGTGAAACTGCCACACGAGTTTTAAACAAACAAAAAAGACGGAGTCATTACATTTAAATACATATTTGTAAACTATTCATTAACTTTTTTTGTATAATATCGCCAAATCAGCCAGTACATTTTCTGACATTTGTCATCCAGGAGAAATTACACACGACCAGTTTGAAATGTGACCCAAGTCGTTGAAACTATGGGAGCTATGTACTTTTAAATCTCAATTAAAAAGTATTTCTTTAGCATTGCTTTTTGTGTTTAGTTTCTTATCCCCCCCCCGCCCCCGCCGCACCTCCGATTAGCAGGGTTGCCTACGTATGGTGCGAAATAAGTTAAAATAATCACAAACCATTGTTTACATAAAGCGACTGAGTGCGTGCTTATTTGTGCGTAAAATTAGTCCAGTGTCGTAACATCTCCTCTTTTGAAGGAGACTTAAAAGGCCTCTTAAGCCAAAAACCAGAAGGCACTTTGCACTCCGTAAAGAGTTTTTGTTCGCTGCTTGCCAATAGCGTGATACGCGGCATTTGTAACGTACAGCATAGTTTGGGCTCAGCTGAATTAAGTGGAAAACCAGACATGCAGTCCATGTTCTTCTGGTGCATAAGTACAAGGACAATACAAATAAGAATACATGAGGTTAAAAACAAGTTTTTCAATGCACACATTTTTATTTGCACTCAAAAGTTTAAAATACATTATTTATAATTAATCAAATTTGATGTGCCGAATGAAAGTGGGTGGCTTGCATAGAGAAAATGAAACGTATCGAAAGGAAGCCATCCCCTTTTAAATGATTCATTCTGTGGTCAAAATAATTTATTTTCTAGCTTTGAGTGCAAATAAAAGTGTGTGCGCATTGAAAAACGTGTTTTTAACTGAATTAAGTGGAAAGCCAGACATGCAATACTGTACATGATTTATGGTGCATAAGTGCAATGACAGTGGTGCCTAAATACAACTAAGAAAAACTCAACACATTAGTTCATAACACAACTATAAAAGCAGCAAAAACATTTCAGGTGATGTTTCATCAAATATTCCCTAATTCCCCCTCCCCCCCCAGCTCCTTTTAGAGCAGTGAGTCTGCGTACACAGTACTGTAACGTATTTAAATTGAGTTAAATGTGTTTTTTAAATCCATGTTTTACGGGCCCACAAAACCAAATTTCCAGCGACAAACAGCACCATTGAAGGTGCAACAGTTATATACAGGGCGTCCCATAAGTCTGGAATCATAGCGAAAAAATAACTCATTCGTATTTTTTTGGTTTCTGCAGTGGCTGTGGAATGGCCAGCAAGAAGCACCGATCATCTCACACCACTGGATTTTTTTTTAAATCTCTGGGCGCACTTGAATGTGCTGGTCAACGCGGAGAAAATTCAGTATTGAACATTTGCGGCAACGCATTATTGACGCGTGTAACACCATCACCCCTGCTCCCATTTACCGTGTGCTTGCTGACCGAGTTCATTTCGTCTGCAGTTGTGTATCAGGAGCAACGGTGTGACATATTGAGCACGTTCTGTGAATAAAAAAGTTACCATTGCCTTTTTTGTATTATTTTCCCTACGATTACAGACTTATGGGACACCCTGTATATAGGAACTTGGGATGAGAAATGACGGCAGGGAATTCCAAAGTCGAGCGCGTGCTTCGCAGAAAAGCCAGCATAATTCCCGGCACTGTATTGACAACATCATATAAACGACGACGCAGGCTCCGCGATACTTTGGCAGTGAAGCTAAAGACAAGTTTTGGAAAGTAAAAAAAAACAGGACTGTTGGGAGTTATTTCTTTGCGGAGTCAGTTATTTATAAGAGCTTCAAATGTTGGGGTATTTCCAGTGCACATTGGCATGGACACAAGCGTGGATTTAGAACAGGGACGATTAGGCGGGCTGCGGGGGAAGTTATATCGAGAGAGAGAGCAAAAAAAAACTTAACATTTATTAGCAAGCGGCGATAGCCAGCGGGCCGGGTGGTTTGGGGGTGGTGGTAGGGTGGGAGTGATAAATAATGAAATAAGCTCGACGTGAAATACGATTGGGTCCTGCAAAACAGCCACACATGGCGTCTGGGTGCATGCAGAGTTGTAGTTACAGGATGGTGGTGGTGGTGGTGGCGGGTGAGTGGGTGGCCAGAACCGGCTCTATCCAGCCGCTCGGGTTCGAGGTACAATGCGTATCGACAGGAAATGGCTCGTGAGGTTTTTTTTTTGGGAGGGGTGGTGGTGGTTGTGGGGCACACCGCGCAAACCAAGGGCTGTTTATCTGCATTGCATTGCGCGTGCGTTTGTTAAGACCTTCGCATGGAGTCTTTGCTCGCAAGTTGGGACCTGGTCCCCCCCTTCCAAGTCTTTCCCCAAACAGGGCGTCGTAGCCACCATATATTGTGTTTTTTTGTTTGTTAAGTGTCCGGGCCATTTCTAGATAGGGCTTATTTAAAGAGACGCACTGAATGTTGAACCTATGAGTTGGTTTGGCAACCCCTCCTGGATTGGGCCAGGAATCTCTTACCAGGAATTGGCATCGATCTCCCCGGTGACTATTGAAAGCATTCCGGAATAATAGATTTTTTTGTCTTTTTTTCTTTCAAATGTCCTTTTTAACATCTTTAGGGATAGCTTCAGTCCGAGAGCTGGCGATCCCACGTGAACCCCCATGTTGGTATCAATATGCCACATGATCAACAACACACACACACCCCAACATGCAGTCAGTGGCGTACACACACACACTGTCGACCAAACGCTACATTCACACAAGTCAACACGCACACATTGACCAGCACACACACGTGGCCAACATACACCGCAACACATCGTGCGCAAACAGCACACACACAAAGACAAAGATCCCCCGTGTAGCCTCAACAAGACTGTCGGGGCAAGTGCTGTTAGCGAGCCACAACCTACGAAGGCCGGCACTGTGGCACACGACGGGGGTGGGTGGCCAGCACCACGCCCGACCGCCTTTGTCTCCCCAGCGGCGATGTTTGACACACCGCACCAGGTACTCATTTGAGGCTGAGTCGACCCAGGGAAGGAGGCCCAGCCTGGGACCGGTTCGGAAAATCGTCACTTGGTGTTGGCCGTGAGTGCGAATCGAACTAGGGTTGGCCGGGTTCGTAGCGCAGCGGGCTGACCGCTGCACCACCGCTCCCCATACAACAGCACAGCGACATACATGTCTACACAGTCAACATGCATTCACAGTCAACACGCACAGTCAACACACACACACAGTCAACAACACACACAGTCAACACGCATTCACATAGCACACACACACAGCACGCACTCACAGTCAACAACATACACACACAGTCAACACGCACTCACATAGCGCACACACACACAGTCAACACGCACTCACAGTCAACACGCGCTAACATAGCACACACACAGTCAACAACACACACACAGTCAACACGCACTCAGTCAACAACACACACACAGTCAACACGCACTCACATAGCACACACACACAGTCAACACACACACATTTCACACACACAACAGTCAACACGCCCTCACATAGCACACACACACACAGTCAACACGCACTCACATAGCACACACACAGTCAACAC